GGTCGGGTCAATGTACATGCTAGAAGGCCAAAAACTCAAAAGGATTGTTGAATCTTAATGAATCAAGTTTCATATTGAATCCGAAAAATACATATGTTGAGGTGGACTCATCAGCTTCGAATCTATTCAAGATTTTGTCAAGTGAAACTGAAAATCGATAATCGGATTTGAAAATTCAAATCCGGATTGCACTAAAGGAACGCTCCCTACGATTATCCATTTTCTACGGGTCACGTGACCAGCTCCGACCAGGGTTTTTTCTTCATAAGAGGGAAGAGACTGGGAACGAGGTTGACTGCATTTAACAATATTTAACTGCATTTAACGATATCTATGTTCGCACAATATCGGACGAATACGCAAATTCGTCTAGTTTCATTTGTTACACAGGAATTCCTAGGGTTAGCTGTGTTTGAATTTGTCCAGTTTCATGTGTCCCATGTAAACGCATAAGGTGATAGTCGTGAAATTGTGAGTATGGTTCAGAATTCGTTCAGTCTCGTGTGAAGAAGGGTCGATTGGGTCATAATCATACCGATCATGTCCAAAAGTAAATATTATAGAATTTATTAAATATTTTATTAAAATTTAATCATTAATTTTGTTCAATTTTAAGGTGATGCTTGGAAACGTTCCAACGCGTCATTTTTATTCTCCCTACGCAACAAAGACAACCTTGCTCCATTTATTGCCAACATCAAGCGAGGTCAGGAGAAGTATGCAATCTGCTGTTCGTTTGGTTATGGACCACGCTTTGGTGGAGGTCATGATCTGTACATTTGTAACAATCCTCAAGTTAATCAATCATCCAGCAATTTTGGACAAACATATCAACTTCCGCCTGGTTATGTCTATAACAGTGAACAAGCAAATAACCTTCTTGCTGGTCAGTACCAATTCTTAACGACAGAAATCGAAGTCTTCAACTGAAAACTGCCTTTGTTTACTTAGTTCAATTCGAAAAATAACATTACATTGATTACGACCGCTCTTAGCAATCACTTTTGGACAGTGATTTTGCAATACTATAAAGTATTAAGAATTAATATGAATATAAAGTATTAAGAATTAATATGAATATTCTGAGTCATGCACTGTAGGAATTTTAAAAATTAAAATTGGTCGTTTGTTTCAACAGTACGTAGCAGTTACTGGAGTCAACACATGAAAGGCCTCGAAGAAAACGTGTGAAAAACCGATTGTTATACAGCCGACGGTAATCAATTATCTAATCAGCATATAGCCTAGGTAAATGTTCGAAAATTGGAAGAGCATTTAATTTTCGATCGACCACTTGAAATCGGATTGCATCTGACCATTTTTCATCGCAATGTCATAAGAACGGTGGCATTTGGCAGCTAAAAGCCTATCTTTATTAGTGTGCGAAAAGTAAATCCATAAACTTAGTATCTATAACGCACGATAACATGCTGAAATTGTTTTGCCTTTTTTGATACACCCTGCACTATACATGTTGAAGGGTTTTCGAGATTTCCATCTACAAAAATTTCAAAAAACCATTCAACATTTAATACTGACTCAGATGCCTGAATTCCTGATATTTACCCATATACATTACATTGTCATCACGTAGTATGTACTGTATACATGAACTTGTGGTTGAAACTCGACAAATGGTTCTGTAGCACAGTTGGTTAGAGCGCTGCACCGGAATCGCAGGGTCGTAGGTTTGATTCCTGCCAGAGAGCCTATATAGTTGCATTTTTTGCAGCTGCTCCTGGTTTGGTGTATCAACGTATAAAATTTACACTCGAGATTTCCATCTACAAAAACCCTTCAACATTTAGTATCGAGTCAGGTGTCCATGCACAATCCTCATTATATACGTACCTTTTTTCCTTGATCATGATATAGTCGTAATCAATGACTTGTAAGCTTTTTCAGTAATTCTTGTATATGTACATATTCAATGTATCATGAACATGGCCGCCGAGAGGTTCAACGCTGAGCCCGGGCCAAAACTTTTCAAGGACCCGCTATGATATCATAATTGTAAAAGGGGAGAAGCGTGTTTTACAATATATCACAATTTATTACATTTTCGTCTGACACCAGCCTCGTACCCAGGCGCTATGTGTTGTTCTATGGCTTGCGCGGCCTTTGCGTGGGCCGCGTCGATTAATTTGATCGATTTTCCGTTTTTCTCCCTCGCGTGCCGTCGCACGTGCGCTTAAAATGACGTAAACAAAACCAAAGCGCCTGGGTACGAGGCAGGTCTGACACTTCGTTGCTTTGGGGGCCTCTTTTGATTTTGGGGCTCGGGGGCCCCCAACCCCTTTCGGCGGCCCTGATTATAAACTATTGCTTTGAACTGATTTATGCTATACAGATCGTGTAAATATTTTACAAGGAATCAAATTTCAAAAACCCAATGGTTCCTAGTAGGCTCCTAGACCTTTATGTTAGATTACTTTAATTAAATCATAATGATTCTTATTAAATATTGTAATTGCCGAAATAAATGAATAATCGAAATGTCAAAAACTATTATGCTTGGCCATAATCTTGTTTAATCCATGTCTTGGATTGCTCAAGATGTTTCGTTCAGATATTGTTCGTTTTAAAAAGTGCCGTATTACTCCCAATATAAGATGGGCTTCCACGCAGACGCGCTTACATATGACGGGCGATTGCATACGAAAATAATTTTGTTTTCGTAAGTGTACTCTAAACTATACAGTGAAATAACATTCCCTTGTCAAATCAACGTAACATCATTGAAAGCATTTTCCCTTTTCAATTACTCAATTTTAACCTCTTAGCTTTATTTACGAGGGGGAGGCTTATGTATTCTATGGACTGAGGGTCAGTGAATATGCTGCGCTGGTGGACGTAGTTTAATTTGGGTATTTGGAGGTATTCGGTAATACAACTTCCGTAATACAATTCTTATTTGAGCATTTTTTGAGACACAGATCAGTGGCCATGCAACAGGTCATGCCCACTGATAGACAGGGTAAAATAATAAAATCGAATCATTTGGGAGCGTTGCCGCTCAATGGGTTACTAAATGAAGTGTGAAATAAAAACCGAAAATGAGATCATCTTAAAATTCTAAAATGTTTACTATAATACTAGATGGAGTACCTTTTTTAGTTTCAGAGTATTAAATTTACTGGAAATGACCATTTTATTTTGCGACATCAATTTTACAATGCTTTATCTGGTCATCCCAGCCTGATCGCGGGCTAGAGCGAATTCTTCGAATTTCGCAATTTTCAAGCAATCCAACACTTTCACAAAGATTTTTATTTGCGATCATTTCGTTGGAAAGAAGACACAAATATGTTATCTAAATTGTGAAGTAAGAAAGATTTAATTGAAATGGCAAGTGCTTCATCAGAAAGTGTTCCTGTTGATGAAATCAACGAACTACTCACATGTTGCATGTGTTTGGAAACCCTACAGGAACCACGAAGCTTGGCTTGCTTTCATAATTTTTGTAAAGTATGTTTAGGTGAGTAATATTTTCTTTGTTTACATGATCTACTTGGCAAATGTATGTCTTGGTACCATAGACTAGGAATATATCCTTATTCTGTCATGGGTATATAATCGTTATATTGACGACCTTGTTTACAAAAATGTAAATTTGCTTGCCAGTATGTACCAGGCAAATTTACACTATCACTATTTCGCGCATATTACTGAATATAGTGCACACTACTGATACAAATTCACACTACCAGTGTGCACTATCAGTACTATGCGCAGACATAACTAATTTTGAATAGTCTTGCGACGTATAATGCACCTATCAATGTTTTCCCCCTGAGGGGGGGGGGGTGCGGACAACCCAGGGGAATTTTGACATTTTTAAAATTTTGTCGTCAAAATCCCAACTGTTGGGCAAGGAACGGCTGTCAAAATTCCCCACTATATTCCTAAGATAACAAGGCACACGTATGTTTTCCAATGCGAACATACAGTCTATACTGGTTTAAACTTGGTAAAAATTGAGACACTGTGTATAAAATACCTTTTTCGATGAAACTTGATCGTGCTTCTCCGCCATACTTGTTACCAGGCCTTTTAATGTCAAAACCGCGCAAACTTTCAAGATGGCGGATGTCAAAATTTCCCGACTCTGGGAGTTGATGCATAGGTCAAATTCCCCTCCCTGGTGCTTCATAGTGTGTTCAAAGTCCCCTGGGTCGCCCGCACCCCCCCCCCCCTCAGGGGGAAAACAATGATAGGTGCATAAACAGCACAACATGATCAATGCGTGCTATATTACAAAGCATTCAAAATAGTATGTGCGCTTTTTGGCATCAAAACAATGTTTACTGGTCTTTTGTACATACACAAGTATATATAAATTATGGAAGTGTTCAATGCCATGTATTGTCATTTACTGCCTCCTCCGCAGGCCCTTCGATCGTTGGGCACAGTGCAGTGCAATTGCAATCTATATAGATCAGTGGCTGTGATATCATTGCCGGGCAATGCATGATGGTCTTCGCGCGCCCAACAAAGAATTTTTTCTCGTTTTCCTCTCCCCCCTTTGAAAGTGAGTGGGGACGAGGCAGTTGTCATTATGTATCAGTCAATCATGATAGAATATCCCAAATTTAACCAGAGATTTATTCTGCACAGGTGGGAATTTGATGCAAACCCTAACCCAGACCATGAGACGTTTGACTCAGTCATAATCTCGTAATGGTGTATAATTTTGTATTGTGTATGTATTCAATAGTTACTTTGATACATTCCGATTATACAAAAGAATATACTCTGCAGCATTATTCTACAATGCAAAGCACAATTAAGATGAACAATTAAGATAGAAGGTCTTTTGGGATCTTTCAAGAACTCTTGTCTTCAGAAAATGTAAACAAGTGACTCTACAAAGGTGCCCCCCC